CCGACACCTCGCTGCCACCGTTCTACGTCCTCGTGTACGTCGACAACCTCGTCTTTGCCACTGCTGACACTGAGGCACTGACCCTTGTGAAGTCGGAGCTGCAGAAGAGACACACCTGCACTGACCTGGGTGAACTGCGCAACTATCTTGGCTTGCAGATCACCCGGGACAGAGCACGACGCACCATCACCCTGACTCAGTCACACATTGTGCACCAGGTCCTTCAGCGCTTCGGCTTCCAGTTCTCCTCGCCACAGCCCACTCCTCTATCTACCGGCCACTCGCTCTCAGCTCCACCTTCGGACGAGTCCGGAGAGCCGAGTGATCCGTACCCAAAGCTTGTGGGTTGCCTCATGTACCTGATGACGTGCACTCGACCTGACCTCGCGTACCCTCTCAGCCTCTTGGCTCGCTACGTGGCTCCCGGTAGGCACCGAAAGGTGCACTGGGATGCTGCGAAGAGGGTACTTCGTTACTTGTGCAGTACGTTGGGCATGGGGCTCGTGCTTGGAGGACGGGGTCTAGTTGTCCTCACCGATCACGCAGACGCTTCTTGGGTTGACGACTCAGCTACGCAGCGGTCGTCACACGGTTACACCTTCAGCCTCGGTTCCAGCTCTGTTTCCTGGCAGTCTACCCGCTCGTCTTCGGTTCTCAGCTCTAGTTGTGAGGCTGAGATCTACGCAGGGGCCATGGCTACATAGGAGCTACGCTGGCTCACCTACCTGCTGACTGCCTTGGGAGAGCAGCCTCGTTCGCCTCCAGTTCTGTACGTAGACAACAAGGCCATGATTGCCTTGTGTCAGGAGCACTGACTGGAGCACAGAACGAAGCACATCGCTCTGCGATACTTCCTTGCTCGAGAGTTGCAGCAGCGTGGTCACAGGGCTGATTTTATCAGGGTAATTACCCTGATTTTAGGGTGATTTCAGGCTTTCCACTTCGTGGAGACTGAAATTCCAGAGTTATTGAATTTCCAGCCCTGATCCAATCAGAGTAATAGTTTAGCTATCCCGTCCCTCGAGTACAGTGTAACAGACTAGGCTGTTAGTGGACCCTGACTTAACAGAGTATCGACTGTGTGGACCCTGACTTATCGAGAGGAAGTTTCTCGGAAGTTTCCTTCCGATGACCCTGCCTTGGATTGATCGCAGTGATCCCCCCACATGTGCGTAATCCCCTCCTTCCCGCTTTATCGAGACGAAGTTTCTTCAAAACTTCGTTCTGATACACCTACCATCGAGATCGCGTGAATCTGCAATGTCAGATATACTTTGTTGGGATTGGTCGAAATAGGCTCTGACAGCGGAAATCTGTGACTCGAACATGTGTGACTCGCCCATTCGATCGGTACACTCGCTCCAGAAGGAACGCCTCTGAGGGTGACTAACTACAGTCGCAATGTGTCTGATGCATGCCAGCTGAAGAGATCCAATTGGGCATGGTAATAAGACAGGGAAACGTTACACTCGCACACCAGATAGGTCAATCACACCCGCCCTGCACAAATCAGTCGAGTGTACAGCCAGCACGAAACACAGCGCGCAGACTTTATGGAGAGTGGGGATATTTTCCCCGGTAACAAAGCGCGCGTTACTACTCTGATGTTCAGTTCTCGACCCTGAACAATCAGTGTTAACTACTTTACAACCCTGAGCAATCAGGGTACTGCTTTTCTGGAAAATGTGCACCCATAATAGAGGGGGGAAATTTTCCCCGGAATCAGGGAGGCTTAAAATGAAACGTCAGCCCTGCGTGGTCAGCTTCGTCTTTCATACGTGGCCACTAGGGCCAACACTGCTGATGTATTCACCAAGGCACTTCCGCCTGGTGATCATCAGCGCTTCTCTACTGTGTTAGGCCTTGTGCCTTCTTTGCCTCTCTTGCTTACTGCTTGACTCTGATTGTACTGTGATTTATATATATATCTGCATGCTTACACTTGCTAGGGTATGATCGCTGTATTTTTTGTTCTCTTTATATAACACTGCACGTGAACTGGCCTTGTACCCAACTTTTTCATAGTTCATTCATTCTCGTTCATTATTCTAACAGTACTTGCTTAGTTTTGTGATGCTCTAGCCGACGTGATGTGCCGTTAGGTAAGAAGGTTAAATGTGATCAATATGATATTGAAGGCGAACAAGTATATTGGACTTGCTCCCCTTGCGTTTTTTGTCCTTAACCATGCCCTCCACGTGTGTATTGATAGGAATGGGCTGTTGGCCCCGCCCTCGCTTGGGCGACGCTGACTTCCTAGTCGGACGCGCGGGTGGTGCAGCCGACTGTTCTGCAGGGTTCGACGCGTGCTGGTCGACGGGGTTGTCGACCTACAGGCGGTCGTTGCAATGCCGTCGTCGACGGGAGCCGGCGGTTGATTTCGACGGGGAGGTCGACAAAGGTGGTTGTCGACCTACGCGAGTCTGTCGAGGAGCCGTTGACGGTGTGAGCTCGACGACAACAATAGACCGAGCTGGTCGACGGAGGGGACCGTCGACCAGGGTGGTCATCGACAAGGGTTGTGGTCGACGAGGCAGGTCGTCGACCAGGGCACCGGGTGGTCAACCCGGTCGACCAAGTTAGCTCGGCGAGGTTGTGCGGAGGCACGCGAATGACTACGAGGCTGTGATGGCGAAGGCGACTTTGGGCTGGTATCCCGAAGTTGATGTGGCTCGTCAGGCGCAGATAACAGCCGACAGATGCGTGACGATGCATGTCGGGCCAATCGTCTGCGCGCACCTGCGAGCGTGCGCACTGCTGTCTTCTACGGGTGCAACGTTGGATAGCCGCCTTGCTGCAGCGTGGGCACGCCGTCGACCTGCTCTGTTGGCTGGCCACATTTCTGCAGCGCTGGCGCGGCTCCTCTACGGAACGCTGGCAGGCGGCCGACCATGCTGCGGTGGCGGTCGACCAGCTGCCCTGCTAGGTTGCTAGTCACTGATGTAGTCATTCTTGCAAGTGTAGTATAAATAATTATGCAATGCAACTTTCCCTAGTGAAACTCTTGCCAAATTGCTCTGTGAACGCACAAGTGCTAGAGAACGCTAAGGAAGCTACGATAACTCCTAGAGCTCGTGCCAACCCCTCCCGTTATAGAGTAAATTTCCGCAGTGTGATAGTGTGATGAGCAACATGTGTTTATGGAACACGTCATGAAGACGTGGTGTAGATGTTGAACAATTTGTTTCCTGTTTGATCCAAGACGGATACATGCATGTGAATACTGTAGGGAAAATATGCCACAAGTAACCAACTTGGAACTCGATAACGTGAATGGTAAAAAAAAAACGCGTACGGTCACTGTATCGGGTTTTCTGACGGGTTTGGTAAGCGGGGTCACGGATTCAGTCACTAACAACAGGTAAAAAATCACGCGAATGGTCACACATGTAACTCCCGCCAAAAAAACTTGAAACTCAACAAAATTCCCGCTCGCGCCCAACCAATCTGCGAACTTGTAAAAAAACTAAAACCCAATCGGAATCGGATGCGGTTTGGGAACGGATCAACCCTAAACACCTGGCGAGTTACGTGTTTAGGGTTGATCATCCGAAAATGCATCCAGGTTCTTTCTGGGTTTCATTTTGTTTTGGCGGGAGTTTCATCTGTGACCATTCGCGTTTTTTTTTACCAGCTGATTGTGACTGATTCCGTGAAACGCTTTATCAGTCGCGTGAAAACACCCTTTGCAGTGACCGTACCCTTTATTTTTTTACCAAAAATGTTTTCGAGTCCCATGATGGTTACGAACGGCATATTTTCCCAATACTGTATTATGCAAATGCACTACTCTTTCCAGTTGTTTGCAACGGCACAAAATATGGGTGTGGGCTAGACTGGGTAACACGTGGCATACTTGAATAGGTGCGGCGTCCTGGCTGACCTTACCGTGTGGTTGGGCTGACCAGCCCGAAATATATTGCGACGCGAGCCGAGCCTCGCAAGTCATCGAAATATATCGGGTTTAATATGACTTTGAAACAGCCATTGAAAACCTTTAGGTTTATAGACCTTGTTCCTATTGTAAGTTCCTTTCCATACCATTCTATGCTGACCAGTATATGTTGTCGCGGGCAAGCAAAATTCTGCACCGTAGCACCAAGTTCTGGCCGCCAAGTCTTCTCGCGAAATCAGGCGCCTTCAATGTGTCGCGTTGCCGAGGCTGACTTCGGCCGACTCCGCTTTCGTGTGCGGCCCGTTTACGAGCTTGTCGGTTTGGGGGACGGTCCGTTATGGCGTCGAGCAAGGAAGACTTACGACCGTCGATTGTTCTGCCCAGTAGCTACAGATCCCTAGGTCCTCTGGACCTCGGACTTTTCGAAGACCTCACCTGCCTCGTGAACCCGGTCTGGTGACGGTTGACAACCCGGCCTAGGGGACACCCTCAAGCCAACCCCGCATTACCTTTCTCTCACCTCCCTCACCTCCCTCCCCATTCCCCCTCCCTCCGCCCCCGTCCCCTCCTCGTTCTTCCTGGGCCATCTGCTTGTTCTGTTGGCTCATTCCGCGTTCTCTTGTGCAAGTATTTCATATCATCATTCACACAACTCCACCGATTTTCAACTCTGGATTAGGTAGAGTAGCTCACCGCGTTGATTGCTTTGCAGTTCTGGACGGCGTATATTCGGTCGCTCCTAAGCCGTAGGACCGGCACGCGGTGGCATAGAGGTGGATGATGCCGGGAGCAACCTGAACGTTCTAGTTGCGGAAGGTTTCGGGAAAGACTGACACACTGTATTCTTCTCAGCAAACAGTACTAATACTGAATTCCGATGGCGAAAAGCGTTTCCGGAAGAAGATTAGACGCGACTCTGCGAGCGAGTATGACCAAGCATCTTGCTTGGTCATTTAACGCCCGGAGTCATTGTAGTGACTTAGTCTGTAGCGACAAGGGTGCATTTTCAGCAATGTGCTCCAAGAACGCCACGTGGCGACGCATGTCGAAGCTCATTGCAGTACTCACCGTCATCAGTCTCGTTGCGCTAACTCGCGAAGCACTAATGACGGCCACTAGCGACGGCCGGAGATTCCTCGTCTTCTCTAATCCTCGGCCGGTTTTTGCGGGACGAGCAGCAGAAGACGGGGCGAATGAGGAAGGCAGAAGCCTGAACCGTATTGTCCCTCATCCGGACGTCGTTATATGGGCTAAGGTAACCTGTTATTTTGTATAACCTACCAGTGTTTGAATATAACGGCTCAGGGTGGTAGTCAGGCGGCCCTTCCTCAATAAAAAGTTCGTTTTCTTACGACTGTCGCTGAAGAAATAAAATTTCAGGCACCGTCAAGTAGATTCGTTTTCTAGATATTCCTCGATGTCGCATTTTGTTTCCCGTTTCTCGCCTCACCTTCCTCATTCCACTGTCATCCGCAACCCCACACATTCAGGGTCCGCTTCACAAGCGGCTGGAGGCAGTGTGCGCGGGGTACGCGCTGCACCACCTCCTGTCGTCCAAGCTGCCTGCGGGCGTTCCGAATACCAGCGCCGCGTATTCCCAGCAGCAAACCCAGCAGCGACCGTTGCGCCTGGCTGTGTTATGGCTGCCGGATCGAGCCATGCCGCACGCCACGCTCAACCACGTGCTGGGCCCTCTGCCTCCCCCGAGTGCGCTCGGCGCAGTGCAAAGCGGCAGCCAGCAGGGCGAGCATGCGCAGGAGTCGCCGTCGTTCCCGCCGGATGCGTCCGACGAGGCACTCGTGCTGCAGCACCACCCGAGCTGGCTCAACTCACCGCTTTATACCTATGGGGTAGGTTCTTTTGCAAATGTGAAACGCGGCACGGTTCCTCGTTTACAATTTTGTCAACTCCTTCGCGACAATGTCATATTCGCCTGTCCGTTTTTCGCGAGCGTGCACTCAGTCGTCGGCGTTTCGTTCGCTTTCTCAGATTGCATTTCTAGGATTCATGGTCATACCCCTCTCGTCTCTCCCCCTCCCCCTCTTGTTCGCCTTCCGAACAGACTCTTGACTCGAGAATCCCCCAGCCGATATCTCAAGAGCAGCTGCAGCAGCAGCAGCAAAAACTGTCTGGCACGTTCTCCCCCTCCGCCTCCCACCCGCTTCCCTCCGCGCATCGGCCTCGCCGCCTGCGCGTCGGCTTTTTCCTCTCCGCCTCCCTTCCCCCCATGGCCGCCACTCTTGCTGACGTGGAGGATTCCCAGCTCTACACTTCCCTCCAGCGCTGCTACAGCCTGCTACAGCCGTCCACAGCCGTGCAGGAGCTGATAGCCAAGGAGAACATGACACGTGTCCAGCAGAGCACAGCGGTTTATATGGAGCCTGTAGCGCTCTCCCCTAAATCCCCCCTTTGCACCGGGTGCGACCCTAAATTCACAGTCAACTGCACGGCTCGCCGCCTCATGTGGTTTTTTCTCGGGCAGCCGGACGGCGACGCGACGGTGGCAGGTTTCTGGCCGTCGCAGGCGCTGGCTGTGGCGCAGACCTTCCACCCATCCCGCCAACCGCACCTTCTCCGCGCAACCCTTCGCCGCTCCGCCCTCTGCCGCCCCAACCCCGCGTGGGGGGAACCGCTCCCTCCGCCGATTGTCCCCGCGGAACCCACACCGCGGGAGATCGCTGAGCGGGGATGGTTGGGAAAGCTAGGCTGGTTTGACAGGCGGCTGGAAATTAGCGGAGGGGGAGGCGGAACTAGTGGGGTACGAGGCGCCGGGGGGATAGGGTTTGGTAGCGGCGGGAGTGAGGGTGCGGAGCAAGGAGCGCGGGGAGTGGGCGCATGGATAGAGTGCGCGCAACTAGAAGCGGCGGAGCTGTTCGCGCTGTCTGCTGCGCGGGGGCTCATTCACCTGCAGCACTCCCCCCAAGCGGACCTCATCCGCGCGCAGGCCTCCGCCAAAGGCAGAACCCCCCTTGTGCATGACGTGCTGGTCGCCCCGGAGAGCTTTCCGCGGAGAGCGGGGGGCGCGCCAACGGCAGCGGAGGGGAGCAGCGGGGAGGAGGGCGGGGAGGGGAGCGGGGAGGGGGGCTCAAGCGCGGAGCGCGGAGTGTTTGAGGTGGAGCGCGGGCTGTGCCATGCGCCGCCTATGGTGCCTATCAACAAGCACCGCATTGGGAAGCAGCTGATCGTGGATGGTGAGTGAATTGAGACAGGCTTTGAGGCGTCTCAAAGGGCTGTGCCATGCGCCGCCTATGGTGCCCATCAACAAGCACCGCATTGGGAAGCAGCTGATCGTGGATGGTGAGTGCTCTCCTTGACTAGTCTCACTTTCTTGCCCCCTTTCCCCAGGTCCCTCCCTCTCCAGCCCACTCCTTTTCCCTCCTCTCCTGTCCCCTCCTTCCCGCCCCACCATACTACGCCAACCCCCCTTAGATACTGTGGGCATGCTGTGCGGTGCAGAGGGTGCAATACTCCCTTTCAGCTGCACCAGCTGAAAGGTGTGGCTCCCCTCTGGGCTTTTGAATCACCTAGTGTCACACCCTCACTCTTTTTTCCTTCTTCCCATCCCATCCCGCCCCCAACGTTCTCACACCACCCCCCATCAGACACGGTGGGCATGGTGTTTTGCGCAGTGCGGAAGGTCTGTTGCACCAGCTGAAAAGTGTGGCTCCCCTCTAAACTCTTGAATCACATAGTGACACACCCTCACTTCTTTTCCCCTCTTCCCCATGCCCTCCCACCCCACTCTGTTATGTCACTCCCCATCAGACACAGTGGGAATGGTGTATTGCGCAGTGCAGAAGGTGGGTTGCACTAGCTGGAAGGTGTGGATTCGGCAGCAGCACCACCACCCCAACCCCAACCAGCTTTTAGACACCCACCTACCAGCCACGAGCAACGTCACCGAGGTCTGGTATTCGCTCTCCGAACCTGACGCCATCCGAGCCATCACCCGAACCGACTACACCAGGTTCGTGTTCGTCCGGCAGCCCTTCACTAGGATCGTATCTGCGTATCTCAACAAGCACGTGGCAGGCGGCGGGCCGGACGGGTTCGGGCGGCAGTTCTGGACGAGGAAGTTTTTCGGGCAGCTGTGGGCGCTGCGGGCGCTGGACGGGCTCAGATTCCGGTCAAGCGAAGGAAATTCGTCTGCTGGAGGGGTGGAAGGGGGTGAAGGCGTAGCAACAGCAGGAGCAGCTTCAGCAGCAGCAGCAGAAGTGGGGGTTGGGAAGAAGAGCAGCAGCTGGTGGGGAGTGTGGAAAGACAAGATAGAGATGGAGATGGGTCGTCTGCTGTCGTTTGAGGAGTTTGTGCGACTGCTGGGGGATGCCTGGGACGAGGACAGGCGCTGGTTCCTGGATGAACACATCGCCCCTCAGGTACTTTCCTTGTACCCTTCTCCCTTGCCCCTGAGGTACTTAATGCTTGCACGTTTCCCTCAGGTGTTTATTCCCTGCACATTGCCTCTCGGGAAGCAGGCACTGTTGTTCCATACCCGAACCCCCTTCTCTGTGCTCCACCCCCCTCCTCCTCTCCCCTCCGCATCCTCCCCTCACACACCCCTTCACCCCTCCCACATCAGAACCCCCTTCCCAATGCTCCACCTCTCTCCGTCCCTCTGCTTCCCTCTCTAACTCCTCCCCCCGCAACCCACAGAACATCCTGTGTGGGCTGGACCGCATACGCTACGACTACGTGGGGCGCTTTGAGAACATGGACGCGGACGTGAAGGCCCTCATGCACCGCTTTGGCCGCGACCCGGGCGACGCCTTTGACTTTGGCAAGAAGATCCACCCCACCAAGTCCAGAGACCAGCTGCAGCAGATGTTCAGTAATAAGGTGAGGGGCATGCAGCCATTACAGGATGCTAAGAATCAAGTTCTTGCAAAGGAGACCCATCCCACCAAGTCCAGAGATCAGCTGCAGCAGATGTTCACAAGTAAGTTGAGCGGCTCAGTGATTCCTGAGAGAAGGCTCAATGGGAAGGAGGGTTGTAGCTGTGTTGCGGGTGCAATCCCTTGTTTCACGTCACGAAGCTAGCAGCTCACTAGTGCAGTCTTTAACCCAGCCATGCTGGGTCGCAAGTGACACCACAGCATTCTCTGCCTTCCCACGTGCCTGCTCAATCACTCTAGTCCACCTACTGCCTTTCCCCCACTTTGCAGGAGACGTACGACATTGTGAGGCGAGTGTACGGCATGGACATACACACACCCTTCTGTGTACCCTGGAATTCCACATGCCTGCTTGCTCACTCTCGTGCATGTGCTGCCTTCTTCCTTCGGTGCAATCCAATCTGCAGGAGACGTACGACATCGTGAGGCGAGTGTACGGCATGGACATGCACGCACCCTTCAACAACATCTCCTACGACCCCCCTGAGGAGCTCAGCAGAATCTACGAAGTGGGGGCTGCTGGGCAGGCGGGCAGAGGAGGCCTGGACTCTACGAGTGCGGGCAGGTGAAAGAATCTCTGATGCACCGCTGTACCATGTGGTTGCAGCTTGCAGGGGTTAAAATCTCAGAGGTCAATCCGCTGCTGTGTAATGTGGTTCCACTGACGCGTGGAGCATGGGCTCGTGGGCTCTAGAAGAGGGGTTGTCTCTCCTAGATTGTACTCTTGCACTTCTTTCTGTGCATGTGAGGGATCGGGGGAAGCTGCGCTGGTGTCGGGGGCAGAGGAGGGATGTGAGTGTGAGGAAGATGGAAAGGAGAGGGAGAATGGAGTGGAGTAAGGCACTGGAGGGCAGTTGAAGGGAGGAGGGAGAGGAGGGAGCTGATGTGCTGCTGTAGGGTGCTTCACAAGAAGACACCACTGTTGGGAGGAAGCTGCCTTAAGAGTGTTGCTGTGCTGCCTGCGATGCTGCCTGTCTTGGAGTCTTCTTGGGGGAGGGAGTGGAATGGGGGGAATGCAGGAGGGCACGAGAGGCAGTGTGCAGAGGTGGCAGAGAGGGACGAGAGTTGGGTGTGAGTGAGATGCTCTCCTGAGGCGCCTCAACAACGTGCTCATGAATGTACCACGTGCTGGTTCCCTGCTGCTGCTAGAGTAACAGCCGCGGCGGCTGCAAGCTGATGTCACATGGATGCGCAGCGGAGCGTGGTGCTACTGATTAGCAGCTAGAGCTGTTCTTGAGCCGCCTCAAGCAAGAGCGGATGGCAGTTGAACTGTGACCCTGTAGTTGCGTCCGAAAAGACCCGTATGTCCCAGACTAATGGAACGGGGCTGTGAAGGGGAAAGGGTATTGTAATAACGGGGATTTTGCTCACTTGAGACCTTGAATGGCTGCTTTCATTTGTGGTTTTGTTTCGTTTAGGAGGCTTTTTTTTTTTTTTTTTTTTGAAAATAACCTGGTACGACCAGCCTACCCTACCACCTCATGTTGGACGGACAAGGTTGCTTTGAAGAGTTCGGGCTGGTGGGAAAGGTTCAAAGCGGTGAAGCGAGAAAGACCGCTTCAGAGTGCACACCATCACACTCAACCGCTTCAACTGAACAAAAAAGTGAATTCTGGTTTCCCGCCCAAATTGTATCGCAATTTCCTTTTCCCAAGCCGAGTGGTGCTGTTCACGGCAAACCTCGAAAACCACTTCCCACCGTGTGGAAATGTGTTGAACCACGAAGCGTGAAGTGTAAATAAATTTACACAAGCCCACCCACAGACTTGCTAAGTGTAAGGAAAATTCCTTTTCCTTACTACGCGTCCATGCTTACCGCGTACATGACCGTTCCCGCCATCAGCACCCATCCATGCACGTTACCCGTTCACGACACTCGCCTCGACCACAACTCCCGCCACTGTTCACGACGCGACCCAACCTGACGGTTCGGTTGGTAACCCGCGCTCCGGACCTCCGCCTCGACAATTCTCCAAACCTCGGCGCTAGGCCCGTAGCGCACCTCAATTTCCCACTTTACCGTTACCACTATAGTTTCGCTATATATCCTTCGCTCATGCTTTCGCTCAGTTTGTACTCTTGCTTCGATAGTGCAATTCTCACTCGTTCGCTCAATTGCACTCGTAACACTTGGTATTCAGAGCCTACGATCTCTTCTCGGACCGCACCCACACCTTCGCTTCCCACTATCTCCATTTTGGGGGGGGTAGACGTCTCTCAGCGAACAAGCACCGCCGCTCGAAGTGCCCTCTCGTAAGCACGCACGGCCACGACAGAGGCTCCCACTGAGTTTGCCCGACACCCCCGCCATGGCCGACATTAATCTTGCGACATTGACGCAGGAGCAGCTCGACCGTCTCGTAACTCGAAGATTCGGCACTCGAAATTGCGACACTCACGGCGGAACGTGACTCCGCCCGCCAGCAATCAACGGTGAATGCACCAGCTCCATCACAAGCACCCGAAAATGCACCTGCGCAATCAGAAGAACCGATCGTCATCTCATCAGGCACACCGACGCAAAGCGACAGCGTGGGACAGCGCTCAGGCGCAGCCAGTGATGGCGCCGCTCATGAAGCCTGGCATGGAGAGAAATCGGGCCGCGCCAAGCCCGCGTGGGCCTCGCGAAGCTCGTCGGCACGTGGAGTTTGCAGCAACAAGTGGCGACCACGACATCATGGCACCAATGCCACTCAAGCCGCAGCGCCCGCCCTGTTTCGATCCAAGCCAACGTGGAGGTCCGACGGTTCAGTCGTGGGTCTTCACGATGAACGTTTTCTTCGACGCGAATTACGTCGAGTCGGACGCAGCGAAGATTCGCTATGCTGTTTCGCTGCTGAGGGGCCCCGCCATGGACTGGTGGCGAGTCATCGTGACGTCGCCACGCGCCTACGAGCCACTGTCGCAAGAGGAAGGGCCCACGGGACCAGCCGTCACCTGGAGTTCATTCTGCGAAACAGCCCAATACAGCACGTGGGATGCGTGGTGCGCAGGGCTTCGGGCGCGCTTCGAGCCGATCGCGGCTTCTATTTCGGCGCGTCAGAAACTGCGTACTTGGCGGCAGCTCGGATCGGTCCAAGACTACACGAGCGGTTTTCTCGCATTATGCGAGCAAGTCGGCTATATGCACGAAGCGGAGCGGGTGGACCGTTACGTCGGAGGGCTGAAGCCGGACATCTCGCACGAAATCATGCTACGCGGACTCTCAAATTTCAACGAGATTCTCGCGCTCGCCGAGAAAATCGACATATTACGCTGACCGAGACCGGGGTCCTACTACGGACATCGCCCTCGGGGACCAATCGAGCACGCCACTGTACACGCTGTTGCGACGAACGCAGCTGCCGCGCCGTTTAAGGGGCGCTGCTTCGCTTGCAATAGGCCGGGCCATCGTAAGAGTGAGTGCCCAGAGGAGCTGAGGCGCCGCGGAGCAGAGCAGGGGAGGGAGTCTCTAAGGCAGGGAAACGCCAGCAGTCAGTAGGAATCGGGCCAACTACTGACGAGACTGCCTGCTCGCCCAACCACACCGACCCTCACCGAGTCACAGTACCGATTCACGCTATCGATCGGGCTCGGATGAATAAGGAGGGTACAGCGGCGGATTGCCCAATACTGATCCACGGGAAAATACAGGGAGCAGCAGTGAAGATTTTTATAGACGGAGGAGCAAGCCACAGCTTAGTTAATACCGCAACCGCACGAAAGCTGCAACTGACACTTAGTCGGTGTTTACCGGAAATAGATGCACGCTTAGTGGACGGAACGCCACTGGCCATACGGGAGAAGGTGGAGAGAGTAAAGGTCCGCTGCGGGGGAATTTTTGGGTTTGCACAGGAAATGCTCGCGACGACATTGGATGGGCACGACATTTTACTGGGACGTGATTGGCTGCGACGGTATAACCCGCGAATCGACTGGACGACGGGTAGCTGCACTGTGCGAAGTAGCGGTAACTGGGTCGTGCTACCTCGCTGGCAGTCGCCCGAGTCTTCAACGGTCCACGTCAACGCCATCACGATGAAACGGGCTGTCGCCGCTGGAGCTGACGTGTACGCAGTGGATATATCATTGGTAGGAGAAGCGGAGCAGCCGAACGATTTTCAGAAACTGTTGGCAGCAGTACCGCCTGAACTACAGGAACTATTGAAACGATACCCGGGGATTTTTCCGGACGATTTACCAGAGGGACTGCCACCTCAGCGGGCACATGACCACCGCATAGAGTTAGAACCGGGGGCACAGCCAACTGTACAGCGACAATTCCGCCTGACACAGCCAGAGCTCGACGAACTGAGGAAGCAGTTAGATTACCTGTTAGAGAAAAAATTCATCCGACCGAGCTCGTCGCCGTTCGCCGCACCGATACTGTTCACACCGAAAAAAGACGGGGGTTTCCGCATGTGTATCGACTACAGAGCACTGAACAGGGTAACAGTCAAGTCGCGATACCCCATTCCCCGCGCCGACGAACTGATCGATCAACTGCGAACAGCCCGGGTTTTTTCGAAAATAGATTTACGGGGAGGTTACCATCAGATTCGGGTCGAACCATCAGACTGCGCTAAGACAGCATTTAGGACTAGGTACGGGTCATTCGAGTACACTGTGATGCCATTCGGGTTGACCAACGCACCGGCAACATTTCAGATGACCATGAACGAGGCGTTTAGGCCACTTTTAGATAAATGCGTGATAGTTTACCTCGACGACATCCTAGTCTACAGTCGTGATAAGCAGCAACATTTAGCAGATCTGGAAGCAGTGTTTAACGTTTTAGACAAGCACCGACTACTGACCAAGGGTTCCAAGTGCGAGTTTTTTCAGGACAGGTTAGAATTTTTTGGGCACGTCATTTCGGAGGCTGGGGTTGAAATCGACCCAAAGAAGCTCGACACGGTCAAAGCATGGCACCCCCCGACAAATATCACGGAGCTGCAGAGTTTTTTAGGGTTCGTGAATTACGTGCGTCGGTTCGTCCCCGACATGGCGAAGCTAACAGCCCCACTGACGGATCTGCTGCGGAAAGGGGTCGCTTTTACGTGGGGGGAGAACGAGCATGCTGCCTTCTCTGCCCTGAAAACTGTTCTCTGTTCACCACCCGTACTGCGCATCGCTGACCCACACCGCCCCTTCGAAGTAGTAACCGACGCAAGCGACATCGCCATTGGAGCCGTACTGCTACAGGATTTCGGCAACGGCCTACAGCCCATCGCATACGAATCACGAAAGCTGCATCCGCCCGAGAAAAATTACCCGATACACGACCGCGGAATGCTCGCGATCGTGCATGCGTTCAAAGTCTGGCGCTGTTACTTGACCGGCGCAGACGTGACAGTACGGACAGACCACCGATCCCTACAGTACCTCCGCGCACAGCCCCACCTCAACCCACGACAGATCCGCTGGCTCGATTTCCTCGAGTCAAATTTCCACTACACTGTCACCTACAAAAAGGGAGCATCCAACATCGCTGACGCACTGACCCGCCCCACCGCCCAAATCCACGCGATACTACTCGCCCAGACCAGCCCGCTACTGACAGGACTATTTACCCATGGGTACCAAACAGACCCATTCTTCACAGGAGGAAATTCGCAGCAGTTCGCAGCAGCCAAAGGCGTCTATTACGTAAAAGCCGGGACCGACCGCATCTGGGTACCAGGGTACACACTGCTACGGGAATTACTGTTACAGGAGGCACACGACGGAGTTACCTCGGGACATTTCGGGGTAGAGAAAACACGGCAACAGCTGCAGCGGTATTATTACTGGCCCGAAATGTTGGCCGACGTTCAACGACACGTGGCATCGTGTCCCACTTGCCAGATCATGAAGTCATCACGGAAGCGGCCGGCAGGACAGTTGCAGCCGATACCACCCCCAGAGCGTGCTTGGCAGCAGGTGACGATGGACTTCGTCACGGGGTTACCGGCCGGAGCAAGTGGGAATGACGCGATCCTGGTCGTCGTCGATCGACTGACGAAAATGGCACACTTCGCAGCATGCAAAAAATCAATCACAGCCGAAGAAACAGCCCGCCTCTTCATCTCCACCATCGTTCGACTGCACGGGATACCAGCATCAATCATGAGCGACAGAGACACGAAATTCACCAGCAACTTCTGGCGGAACCTGTGGCAGCAATTCGGCACGCGACTGCAGTTCAGTTCATCATACCACCCCGAAACCGACGGACAGACAGAACGGACAAATCAGACCATGGAACAGCTCATCCGGGCCACGTGCGACGACCCGACCACGTGGGAACAGCAACTGCCACTCATCGAATTCGCGTACAACAACTCGCCATCCGCCACGACCCAACAGTCACCGTTCTACCTGAACTACGGACAAGACCCCACAGTACCCATGACCCCGAATCCCGACAACCCAGTCCCACGCGCGCAACAGTTCGCAGAAATACTGCAAGCAGCACGGACCCGAGCAGCCGAAGCAATAAAAAAATCAAACATCATCGCTAAACGCAACGCTGACCGCCACCGCCGACCTGTCACTTACCAGCCGGACGACCTAGTTCTACTTGACACTCAAAACCTCCGCCTGCCCATCACTCCAAAACTCCGCCCCCGATATTGCGGGCCATTTCGCATCAGCCACATGATCACACCCGTCACCGCCCATCTCCTCCTCCCTGCTGACTGGTACGTCAGCCCGTCATTCCACGTCAGCCTGCTTCGCCCATACGTGCCATCCACCAGCCAACTGCCTCGCAATCGCCCCGCCAGCATGACACGACCACCGACTGAGCCAATCATCACGCCTGAGAAAATACTGAGCCATCGAGTACGTGACCCACGGGGAGCCCGCAGAATCGAATTCCTGATCGGCTGGAAAGACCGCACGCCCACCGAAGACAACTGGGTCCCCTTGGATAGAATTGAGAATCACCCTGTCCTCACTGAGTATCTGCGCAGCCGAAACTTCCGAGATGTACACGCGCTCTCATAAGAGGGGCCTCCTTGGGGAGGGGGGTAGTGTAAGGAAAATTCCTTTTCCTTACTACGCGTCCTTGCTTACCGCGTACATGACCGTTCCCGCCATCAGCACCCATCCATGCACGTTACCCGTTCACGACACTCGCCTCGACCACAACTCCCGCCACTGTTCACGACGCGACCCAACCTAACGGTTCGGTTGGTAACCCGCGCTCCGGACCTCCGCCTCGACAATTCTCCAAACCTCGGCGCTAGGCCCGTAGCGCACCTCAATTTCCCACTTTACCGTTACCACTATAGTTTCGCTATATATCCTTCGCTCATGCTTTCGCTCAGTTTGTACTCTTGCTTCGATAGTGCAATTCTCACTCGTTCGCTCAATTGCACTCGTAACACTAAGTTGCAACTCCAAATTCCAGAAGAATTCAACATCTGCTATCCAGCTAGAGTAGCTCTTCCTGTTGCTCAGTCTGCGATTCAGAACAAGGAAATGAGTTTCGAGAGCCACTCTGATGAGGTGGGTTTGACTGGCGATGACGTAGAGGTGGCCATAGAAGAGGAATTCCAACATTCTGTAATATGGAAGCTCTTGGAAAGGGCTGTTGCATTGCACGCTAAGCTGATAGATTAACGGCATTCCGGGGCCAAGGGAAGAGGATTCTATGCGACTTCACGAGCGAGCATGAGCGAGCATCCAGTTTGGCCCGTCGAAGCCCAGAGCAGCTGTCGTGACCTAGTATGCAGCGAGAAGAGTGGATGTTCGGCTTTGTGTTTCGAGAATGCAGTGACGTGGCGACGCGTGTCGAGAGTCCTTGCCGTGCTCACCGTCGCCAGTTTCGTAGCGCTAACGCGCGAAGCGTTCATGACATCCGCTTTCGACGGTCAGCAATTCCTCGTCTTCTCTTATCCTTGGCCGGTTTTTGCGGAATTGTCCGCAGAAGACGGGGCGACCGAGGACCCCAAAAGCCTGAGCCGCAATGTCTCTCACCCGGACGTGGTCATATGGGCCAAGGTATGTCGCTCACCACAAGTGATTTCCAAGGTACGTGATTTTCCAAGTGATCGCGCATTGGGACGAACGGTCACGATGAATCTCATCAGCTCGTCCCTTTTGAGCAGTTTTGATTCTCACCAGGATGTCGCCATATGGGCCAAGGTCTGCCATTCAACACAAGTATCAATTGATTGGATTCACAGATGCATTGTGACGAACGTATGGGCCAATGTATGTCATATGGATGTCACCCGGACGAAGTCATATGGGCCAAGGTATGCCAAGGTGAAGGGAAGGGTTGTGACGTGGGAGGGGTGAAGGGTTGTGCGAGAGGAGGATGTGGTGGGGAGGGGAGGAGGGGGGTGGAGCACGGGGAAGGGGGTTTGGGTATGGAGCAACAATTCATGCTTCCTAAGAGGCAACGTGCAGGGAATAAACACATGAGGGGAAAGGTGCAAGCAGCAATGCACCTGAGAGGAAAGGAGGGGGATGCAAGCGAAGTACCTGGGGGGCGATGTGTTCATCCAGGAACCAGCGCCTGTCCTCGTCACAGGGGGTTGGAGCAGGGTGGGCAAACGTGCACTCAACAAGTACCCAAGGGAGACGGCGTCTCAGGCATCCCGCAGTAGCAACGTGCAAGCAATAAGTACCCGAGGAGAATGTGTAAGTACCTGAGGGGCGATGTGCTCGTCCAGGAACCAGCGCCTGTCCTCGTCCCAGGCATCCCCCAGCAGTCGCACAAACTCCTCAAACGACAGCAGAAGCCCCATCTCCAGCTCTATCTTGTCCTTCCACACTCCCCACCAACTGCTCTTCGCCCCACCCCCCACTTCTGCCGCTGCTCCCCCCACTTTTAGCCAGTCCCTTGCCCGCAGCTCTCACAGTTGCCCGAAAATCCTTGTCCAGAACCGCCGCCCGTAATCCTCCGGCCCGCCGCCCGCCACGTGCTTGTTGAGACACGCAGATACGATTCTCGTGAATGGCTGGCAAACGAACACGAACCTGGTGTAGTCGGTTCGGGTGATGGCTCGGATGGTGTCAGGTTCGGAGATCGAGTACCAGACCTCGGTGATGTTGCTAGTGGCTGGGAGTTGGGCTTCTGAGAATTGGTTGGGGTTGGGGTGGTGGTGCTGCTGCCGAATCCAGAACTTCCAACTGGTTGATCCCACCTTCTGTACTTCGCAATATACCAGCCCCACTGTGTCTGAAGAGGGATGGGGGCGTGTCACGACAATGAACCGAGTTTACTTTTGAGTCAATTCAAACAACAATCTAGCTGCTGAATCCGACCTTCTGTACTACGCAGGCAGAGAGGCAGCCTCACCAGGATTTCTCATTCATTTTTCCCAATTCTTCTAATGAGACTAATCAAGGTGGCCACTCACCATCCACATTCAGTTGCCGCCCCATCCGGTGCTTGTGAATCGACACGATAAACGGCGCATGGCACAGCCCTCGCTCCACCTCAAACACTCCACCCCACGCACTCCCCTCTCTGTTCTCCTCCCCGCCCCCCTCCCCGCCCTCTTCCCTCCTGCTACTTCCCCCCACACCCGTCGATGTGGGCGCCATTCCCCATGGGACAGTCTCAGGAGCGACCAGCACGTCGCGCACATAGAGCGCTCTGCCTTTGGCGGAGGCCTGGGCGCGGATGAGGTCCGCCTGGGGGGGGTGCTGCAGGTGAATGAGCCTCTGGGATGCTGAGAGAGTGAATAGCTCCGCTGCTTCCAGTTGCGCGCATTCCACCCATGCGCCCACTCCCCGCACCCCTTGCTCCATCTCTTCACTCTCAGCACTCCCGCCACTCCTGCCACTCCCATCACTTCCGCCCCTCCCGCCTCCCTCCCTGCCTCTCCCCACCCACCAGCCAAACCAGCCAGAACTCCTCCTCAGCGCCTCCCGCTCTGCAATCTCCTTCAAAGTGGGTTCCGCGGGGGGGATGGTTGGGGGGAACGCCTCCCCCCATGCGGGGTTGGGGCGGCAGAGGGCGGAGCGGCGCAGGGTTGCGCGGAGGAGGTGCGGCTGGCGGGAGGGGTGGAAGGTATGCGCCACGGCCAGCGCCTGCACCGCCCAGAAACCCGCCACTGTAGCGTCGCCTTCGGGCTGCCCGAGAAAAAACCACATGAGGCGGCGGGTGGTGCAGTTGACTGTGTGGTGAGGGTGGCAGCTGGTGCAGAGGGGGTTTAAAGGGTCAAGGGCCACAGGCTCGATGTAGACAGCTGTGCTCTGCTGGACACGTGTCAGGTTCTCGTTGGCTATCAGCTCCTGCACGGCTGTGGACGGCTGTAGCAGGCTGTAGCAGGCTGTAGCAGGCTGTATCAGGCTGTATCAGGCTGTAGCAGCGTTGGATGGAGGTGTGGAGGTGGGAGGAATCGTCCACGTCAGCAAGGTTGCTGACAGAGGGAGCCATGGGGGGGAGGGAGGAGGAGAGGAAGAAGTCGACTTGCAGGCTGCGAGAGGGATGGGCGGAAGGAAGGGGTTGGGAGGAGGAGGGGTTGAACGTGCTGGCTTGTTTTTCCCGTTGTTGCTGCAGCTGCTCTTGGGATATCGGCTGGGGAATTTCCGTCTTGAGGGTTTGTTGGGATGCGCCGTTGCGCAAGGCGAACACGCGGGGGGAAGGCGGGAGGGTGTGTGGGGGGGAGGGGGGAGAAGGGAAATGGGGGGAACACGATTATGAATTGGGAAAGATGCAGAGTTGAGTGACTAGTAAGCTGACGACCAAGCACGCTCGCGGAAAAGAAAGGGGCGAGTAAGAATGTATGCAAAGGAAGCATAACCATCATGATGTGTGCTCAGCAGCATGTGGACAAATAACCTACCCCATAGGTATAGAGCGGCAAGTTGAGCCAGCTCGGGCGGTGGTCCAGCACGATCACAGCCTCCTCGTCAGACGCATCCACCGGGAATGACGGCGACTCCTGCGCCTGAAACTCGCCATGCCGACCGCCGCTTTGTGCGGTGCCGAGCTTGCCCAGGGGAGGCAGAGGGCCCAGCACGTGGCTGAGCGTGGCGTGCGGCATGGCTCGATCCGGCAGCCATAGCACGGCCAGGCGCAACGGCCGCTGCTGCTGCGGTGGCTGCGGTTGCCGCTGCTGGGAAGACGCATCGTTGGTATAGTCCCAGAGAGTATCTGGGACTCCGGCCGGAGGGAGCTTGGACGACAGGAGGTGGTGCAGCGCGTACCCCGCGCACACTGCCTCCAGCCGCTTGTGAAGCGGACCATGGATGTGTGGGATTGCGGATGAGACGGAAAGAGACGGAAATACCGGATCGGCATGGAATCCACCTCGGAGATTGGATGGTTTTTTGGGAAAGGAGCGAGAAAAATGATTGTGAAGTGGAACTTGGATTTGAAAAGACGCCATTACCAAGGTTGATAACTGCAGATTTGAGAAAAAAAAAAAGACAGGAATTCGGGGAGGTGAAAATGATTTTTTTAGTTGAAGTGACACGACTCATGAGAGAAATACATTTGAATCCTCTTTAATAGATAATCACTATAATACATGCATTGGCCCATATGACGACGTCTGGGTAAGATTCGTTGCGGCTCAGGCTTCTGGCGTCCTCCGTCGGCCCATTTTCTGCTGCCAGTTCCGCAAAAACCGGCCAAGGATTAGAGAAGACGAGGAATTTCTGGCCGTTGCCAGCGACTGACATAGATGCTTCGCGCGTTAGCGTGACTAATACATAATTGACGACGAGCACTGCAAAAAAAACCGACACGCGTTGCCATGTCGCATTCTTGGAACACAAGCTAAAAATGCACTCCTTTCGTTACATAATCGCTGGTCAATACGGACTCTGAAGGCCCATGCTAGATCCTTTCTCATAATCGCTCGATAAAACATATATAAACCGCTGCCCTTGGCCATAAGAATCTCATTAGTAGTAATATCATCAGCTAGTAGCGTACAATGCAACAGGACTTTTCTAGAGCTTCCTGATTACAAACTAAATTCAACTTCTTCCTCAATGGCCAAATCTAAACCACCGCCAACGAAACCTACCTCTGAGGTGCTATCAAACATGACCCTCTTGTTCCGCAATGCAGGTATAGCAACAGGAAGAGCTGTCCAGCTAATATCCTCGGGAGTTGATGCAAGAGAGTCGGTGGATTTGTGAGCTTTGTTCTACAAGCAGCACTGCAAAAGGCATAATTGGACGATGGGCGGCACAAAAAGGATTTACATCCTGTTCGAAGAAGTGGTTGAGTGCGGTGTTGTACATTCTGTAGCGTTTTCCTTGCTTCACCGCTTTGAACCGTCTACCGCTCTGTTATTTTCCCTGAAATCTCATGACTGCATAAAGGGGGTGCTGTTGAAGGGAGTGGATGGAGGTGGAAGAGGGGCGGGCCGCTCTGACTTGTGCTTGAGAGTCGCGACGCGACTCGGAATTCAGGGGGAACCGTGGAAACATTTTTGCAATTGTACAACAGTACACCCTCAACATGTCAGATTCATATTTCGTATCAAATATAATACAAATATTATCACAAGAAGCAAAATACACCATCTACAAGCAGTAGGCTCAGGATTAAAAAAAAAAAGGAACCAAATGCCCTTTGCAAGGGTGGGGAAAAAATGTATCATACACTGGCAGCCACCACTGCAAGCGAGGCTTTTAATTGATCGTTGGAAAGAGGCTTGGTCATAAATCCATTCATCCCAATTTCCCGGCATCTCTCTGGTGCTCCCGCCACGAGATCAGCCGTGATTGCAAATATTGGAACTCGATGCCGACCCATCTGCTCCTCCACCCATCGGATTTCGATGGTTGCATCATAGCCGTCCATCACCGGCATCTGCAGAGCAACGAGAAGACATTGATGAAATTCGTGTCATAAAAACAAGTATGGTTGTGGAGAGACGAGGGGTAGAGGAGGACACAGAAGCTGGGATTTGCTGAAATGAAATACGGGAACAAGCAGTGCTCGTCGGTGGGAGGTGGGAAGTGGAAGTGGGAAGTGGGAGTGGGAAGTTTAAAGTGCTAAGTGGAAGTGGGTGTAGATGGGTGTAGGCGGGTGTAGATGAGAGGAAAGTAATGAAAACGCACCTGAAGGTCCATAAAGACGCACACAAACCCGTCCCCTCCACCTCCCTCACCCCCTTCACCACCCCCACCACCACCACCCGCCGCACCCCCATCTCCGCTTCCGTTCATCCCCTCTATAAACCGCTCCACAGCAACGCGGCCGTTCTCAGCCTGCACGCCCACCATGCCGTACGGCCGCAGCTTTGCCAGCACCACTTTGCGGTTCACTGCATTGTCATCCACCACTAGCACCCGCCGCCCTCTCAGCCTTGCTGTGAGGGACCTTGGGGAGAGCGGGGGGGCGGGAGCTTGGCTCGGCTCTTCCACCTGCCCTGCGTGATTTGACTCATCGGAGGGGGTTTGACGTGATTCAGAGGAGGCTTCTTTGTGCATTTCGGGGGAGATTTGGCCGCCTTGGTGGTTCCCTGTTTCGGACCCTGGTTTTTTTAGGTCCAGGAGCCCTGGTTTCCCACTTGTCTCGTGCCTTCTTGTCCTCTCCCCCCCTTCGCTGCTACCTCTGTCGTCCGTGCTTCTCCCTGCTTCATCTCCCACTCGTTGACCCTCCTGCTTCCTCCTCTCCTCCTCCCTCTCGTCACACTCTTCTGCTTCATCATAAATGTCATCAACAACTGTTGCAGCTGTAGCAGCAACAGCTGTAGCAGCAGCTGTAGCAGCAGCTGTAGCAGCAGCATCGAGCTCCTCCTGAACCAGGTCAGTCAAGGACAGTGCTGCTGGCAACGCTACAGCCCTTGCTGCTACAGCCTCTGCTGCTACAGCCCCGGCCGCTGAAACCCCTCCTGCTGCATACCCAGCTGAGGCATCTGTAGCAGGCACAGCAGCAGATGCTGCTATCTCCCAAGGGACCACCGCAGGAGCAGAGATGTGAGCAGCGGAAGAGGCGGTCGGGGAGGCGACAGGGGAGGAGGCGAAGGAAGCAGGGACGGCAGCAGAGTGCGTGGACTCAGGTGAGCGCGCAGCGAGAAGGTCCCTTTCAGCCGTGAGAGTGGAAGGCGGAACGAGCGAACGGGAGAAGGGCGAGGAGGAGGGTGAAGAGGATGGCGAGGCGGAAGGGGCAGCAGCAGCAGCAGCAGCGGCAGTGGGGGCAGTGGGAGCAGCAGGGATCCAGCTACGTGATGGGGATGGGGGCGCGTGTGACCGCGCCAGGCTCCTGCCGCTGCTCGTGCTCGCCGTGCTTCCCGGACTGCTCACGTACCCATCCTTACCCCTCGTGAGCCCATCTGTACCCACCTCCACAATGTCTGGGAACCGTGCTCTGCTTCCCAATCTCCGCTCCCTCACCCTTCCTCCCCACTCCTCCCCTAATCGCTCCTCTTCATCCGCTTCTGCGAACGTGACTCCTCGCCTCCCACCTGGTTTCCCTGACCAATCAGCTTCCAGAGTCTTGGCTCGTCTAATCTCCACCTCCTCACACCGTTCTGCATCCTCTCCCATTTCCTCTCCCCCATACTCTCTCTCCTCTCGCCCATTCTTCACATTGTTACCTCCTCCTTCATTCCCCTCCCCTCTTAACGCAATTCCACTCCCCTCTCCTCTCCCACCATCCCCTCCCCAGCTTCCACCGATCAGAAGATCCATTTCGGACGACCAGGAGGAGGGGGTAGCAGCCAACCCACTCCCAGACACCATCTCCCCTGCACCCCATACGTCATCCCCAGATGCACCCTCCCCAGCTGCACCTTCCCCATTTCCGAGGTGAGAAACAGAAGGGTAACCTTCCCTCTCCGCTCTCCTCCTCTCCTTTAAGCTCTGTGACCCTTTAGTAATAGTCCTGCTACCATTACTATTACCTGTAGTAGCCCTCGTACTCACACTCCTGCTACCACTATTGTCACATGTAGCCGCTCTTGAAATGCTGATACTGCTATCACCCGTTTTACTCACAATCCTGCTACCGTTACTGCTATCTGTAGCAGCTCTTGTCACACTCACACTGCTGAAACCGCTGCTGCTATCGCCTGCCGCAACCCTTGCCCCGCTACTATCGCCCATAACCACCTTCACTTTACTGACAATGCTGCAAGCCAGGCTGCTGGTGCTGTGACTGCTGCCGATTCGATACTTGCCCATTCTGCCCAACTTACCAACCCCCGAACGGTAGCTGCTGCTTGTGCTGCTTCCAGCCCCTGCCCTCCCCTCAGCCACACGTCTGCCACCAGTGGAACTACTACTAATGTAACCCCCATCACCGCTCACATACCCACCATCACCGCTGACATAACCACCAGCACCACTGGCATAACCGCTATCACCACTGACGTACCCCACGTCCTCCCTTGTATCAGCAGCAGTACCAGCAGCAGCAGCAGCAGCAGATCGCGAATCCAACCCCTCCCCGTCACTCACACACACCACAGCTCGAAGAGGCTGGTTACCGGGCTGGTTACCAGCACCACTGTACCATGCCAGGTTTTGAGACTGGTTACCAGATTGGTTACCAGACTGGTTAACTCCATCATCACTTTCAGAAAAACAATTCCCTGCTGGTTCCTCTGCCTGTGCTGCTGCTGCTGCTGCTGCTGCTGCTACTGCAGACGAAACACTAGCAGCCTTGGCTCTGGTACCAGCAGCAGCAGGAGAATCCTCAGCATCACCGCTAGCACCAGCACTGGCAGCACTAGCAGCATAGTCACCAGCACCACTGGTCTTATCAGGGGTGATGATAGTAGGAGAGCCTGCCACAACTGCTCCTGCTGCTGCTGCAGCGGAAGCTCTTTTGCCCGACTCCCCCCACCGAGCAGGAGTCAAGGATCGGAACACCGCCCGAACCTGCTGCTCCACCCTCTGCCGAACCGGGGACGGAAGCCTCGGGAGTACAGACGCTCCTGCCGAACCTGATGCTGCTGCTGCCACTGCTTCGGCTGCTCCTGCCGCACCTGATGCGTCAGACACTGCACTCGCTTCTGATAAGGCTGCCACAGCTGTTACTGCATGTGCTTCTGCCGAACCTGCCGCCGCCGAACCTCCCAGACCACTTCCAAACCTGGCTTCTGGGGTCCTCGCCTCTCCTCTTGCTCCGTGCCTCTGGTCTAGCCTCGGACTGACCAAAGGCTTGATGAACGGCCGTGAGAGGCTTGGAATTGCGCCCACCGAACCTGAGAGCTGGTTCAGAATGACCTGCTCCCTCATCCCCTGCTGCTTCGCTTGCTCCTCGTGCCTCTCTCCCTCCTGCTGCCTCCCTCCCTCCTGTTGTCTCCCTCCCTCCTCCTGCCTCTTTCCCTCCTGTGCAGGCCATGCCTCCTCAGAGCTCTCAGAGCTGCTCCTAGCAGCACCGACCAGCAACTTCCCCGTGCATTCTCTCCCCCCTGCCAGAACTCCCGTCTCCCCACCTCCTACTGAAATAGAAGGAAGATCACACGACCTCGCCCCGGTTGGTGCTGCTGATGCTGCTCTTGCTGTTGCTGCCCCTGCTGCCCCTGCTGCTCCTGCTGCTGCAACAGAGGGATTAGCTGCAGGAGGGATGAAAACGAGGCGTGGCGAGGAGAGGGCGAGGGAGGAAGAGGAGGAGGAGGTGGAGAGAGAACCGGGAGTGAGAGAGGAGGGGAGAGGGGAGGCAGGGATGGGGTGGGGGAGGAGGGAGTAGGTGGAGGGAGTGAGAGGAGTGTTGGGAAGGTGGGTGGGAGTGAAGTTGCGGACTGGGAAGGGGAGAAGGGGAGGAGAGGAAACGGTGGTTGAGATGGTCGGAAAGTTTCCAGGAAATGAGGGAACGAGGAGAGAGGGGCTCTGTGAGGGACAGGAGGGAGCAAAGGAGGAGGTGGAGAGGGAGAGGGGGGCGGAGGAGGAGGAGGAGGAGGAGGAGGAGGAGGAGGAGGAGGAGGAGGAGGAGGAGGAGGAGGAGGAGGAGGAGGAGGAGGAGGAGGAGGAGGAGGAGGAGGACATCCCTGCACAGCTTGGTTCATTCTGGTACCTGTCCACATTCACTGCACCTGATCCATTGAGGATGTGAGCAACAGGAAGGGGCAGTGCAAGGTCAAGAGCAGCAGTGGCAGCAGAGCATTCCCCACCAACCACAGCGCCACAAGAACGATCAGCAGCCATTGCTCCATCATCTACCCCTGCTGCCACCGCCACTGCTGCTGCTACTGCTGCCACTTTTGGTGCTGCTGCCACTTCTGGTGCTGCTGCTGCTGCCGCTGCTGGTGCCGCTGCTGCCGCCACCGCTGCTGCCACTGCTGCTTCAGCAGCCTTGTCCCCTCTCGCCCCTGCAGGTCTCTGGTAGCTTTTCCTTCTAGACCATACCCTAGACACCCTCCTCTGCTTCCCACTCAACAGCTCTCTTCCTCCTACCTTCACTCCTTCTCCCCCTTCTCCCCATTTCTCCTTCTCCCTTTCCTTCTCCCCTTCCTTCTCCTTTCCGTCCCTCTCCCTCTCCTTCCCTCCCTCAGCAAGTCTCCCTTTCTCTCTCTCCACCGCCCTCCGCCCCAAATCCTCTCGCCTGCCCGAAAACGTCCGACTGATCCTGCCCGAAACCCTCACAGCCGCAGGGAACAAGAGGAAACTTTTGTCGCCGCTGCCCGAGCGAGAAACAGGAACACCACCCTTGCTGGCGTCACCACCAGGATTGCTGACGTGGGCCTGAGTCACACCAGCACGATTACCACTCAGAGTGTTACTGTTCCTCCTTCCACTGTTACCGTTACCGCTGCTGTTACGGTTACTGATACTGTAGCTGTTACTGTTACCAGTCGGGCCACTGTTACCACTCAGGTGGGAACTGCTGCCAGCAGTGGAGAGCGCAGTGGATATACCTAACTCAGAATAGACAAACTTTGCCAGCCAGTCGGTGAGAGTCCAGCAGGAAAGCAACGCAGTGTCGATTGCATCCCTTTGGTCCTGATCCAGCTCGCACTCTTCGACTAATAGCTGCAGCATGCCTGATGAAGGGAAGGAACACGGAGCAGGGGGACAGGGAAAGAGCAGAAGGTTGGTGCCAGAGGAAGGAAACGGAGAGCAGCGCTGTGTTGATTGCGTCTCTCTGGTCCTGATCCAGCTCGCACTCTTCGACTAATAGTTGCAACATGCGTGGTTGTGGGGGGTGTGGGGGACGGGCGTGGGGGAATGTGGAGGGTGGGTGGTGAGTCCAGCAGGAGAGCAGCGCAGTGTCGATTGCGTCCCTCTGATCCTCATCCAGCTCACACTCTTCCAAAAGCAGTTGCAGCATGCCTGGTTGGGGTTCATGGCAGCAGGGAGAGGGGAAGAGCAGGAGGTGTGAGGGAGCAGCGCAGAGTCGATTGCATCCCTCTGATCCTCATCCAGCTCGCACTCTTCGACAAGCAGTTGCAGCTCCTACTTTCCATGCACACTATGCACACTGTGCTACCAACCAACTCATCATAGTCCCGTTGATTGGAGTGCGTATTTCATGCGAATTGCACTCCAAGAATTCCTTCTTGCACGCTGTCGCGGCTTGCATGATTGCACGATTGCACGATTGCACCCCAAGAACACCTTCTTGGCCCGGAGGTGACTTTTGGCAAAAAGTGGACTGCCCCTGTTTCTATCCCCACACGTGCTACCAACCAACTCACCTATGATCCCGTTGATAGGAGTGCGGATTTCATGCGAGATACATCCCAGAAACTCCTTCTTGGCCCGGACTGCCCCCTCCTGGGTGGCCCTGGCAGCAGCCAGCTCCGTGAGATGCTTCGCCGCCTGACCCTCCATTCACCCTCTCTCTCTACCACCATACATGCAGTGCACTCACCTATAATGCCGTTGATAGGAGTGCGGATTTCATGCGAGATGCATCCCAGAAACTCCTTCTTGGCTCTCACTGCTCCCTCCTGCGTCGCCCTGGCAGCAGCCAGCTCCGTGAGATGCTTCGCCGCCTGACCCTCCATTCGCTCTGCCACCTCCCACATGGCCCACAGGCAGCACGTCACCAGGGCGACAGCGAACAGCAAGCCCCCGCATATCACCGAGACCTGCAAGCCAAACCCAAACTGCACTTGCTGCTGCTGCCGCTGCCGCTGCCGCTGCTGCTGTTGCTGCCACTGCTGCTGCCACTGCTGCTGCCACTGCTGCTGCTGGTACTGGTGATGGGGATGAGAATACAGCGGCTGCAGCAGCGTCTCACTCTCCTGCGCCCACGGCTCCACTGCCCCCTCTCCCCCCACTCCATCCGCCATTCCCCCTGCCCCTGCCCCTGCCCATGCTCCTGCTTCCGCTCCTGCCCCTGCACCCACTCCCACCCCAGCCGCTGCACCAAGTGTCATGGCGAGCACGCCAATCAGCAGTACAGTAGCTATGAGGGCAAGACCGGCCAGCAGGCACCACATGCAGATCACCAGCTGCCGCCAGTGGGAGAGAGGCGGAGGAGTGGAGGGCGGGTATGCGTGCTTGTGACCGCTGCTGCTGCTGCTGCTGCTGCTGCTGCTGCTGCTGCTGCTGCTGCTGCTGCTGCTGCTGCTGCTGCTGATGGTGATGGCGTTGCTGCTGCTGCGGTGCTTTGCTCTGTGCTTCCTGCTGTGCTGCTGGCTGCTGTGCTGCTGCCTATGGTGCCGGCTCAACCGCTGAGAGTACATTGGGCTGTTGATTGCCCCATGCTCCGTTTCTTCATTCCCCCACCCTCTCTCCCTCTCCTTCCTCTCAAGACTCTTCCGCCTTCCCTCTACTCCTCCTCCCTTGTCCCCCTCTCCTGTACTCCTCTCCGCTCCCCTGACCCCCTCTCCCGTACTCCTCTCCCTTCCATACACCAGTGACACATCCCCTGCTGCATCCTCCCACTCCCCATTCCACTCCGCAACCTCCTTTCTTAACTGGTCCGCCCGGCTGCTTGTCCTCTTTACAGGCGCACCCAGTTCGCTATAGTCACCCGAGACTGTACGCGGAAACGGTTGAGCAGGCTCGGCAGGGCTGGCTGCTGCGGCAGAAGCTGCCTGGCCGGCAGGTTTGGAGACAGGTACGGGGAAATCCTTCGGAGGTTCGTTGGGCACAGCAGTGGCGGTGGCGGCAGCATCGGCAGCGGGGGTGCCTAATCCAGTGGGCAAAGCAGAAGAAAGTGCCACGTCAGCAGGGAAACGGGTCCCAGCAACAGCTTCTCCTGCCAATGCGCCGCCCAAAGAAGCCAGGTGGCCAATACTGCCGACAAACACCGACTCATCGAGCGCTGACCTATCGCTCGGCGTCAGCGATCCCATGCGTGACTCATCATGTGCCAGCCCCAGGCTGGCACGACTCAGTGTCGTTGCTCCCTGCGCTCCTCGCACATTCCCAAAACCAAGGCGCTCCTCCAGATGACTCTCACCCTCCCACACCCCTCTCTCCCCCTCTCCTCCCTCCTTGTCATTAGCTCTCGTGTCCTCCCTGCCTCGCCCGAAGCCTATCCACCCCTCTCCACCGCTCTGCACCGAGCCACTAAGCTGCCGCTGCACGTGCTGCTGGTACTGCTGGTGCTGTCTCGGATCCAGCAGATAGCTCCTCAGCCCCCCTCCTCCCCCCCCTCCTCCCGCCCCTCCTCCTGCTCCCCCTGCCGCCCACACCAGGCTGCACCTACGTCTGGGCCGCACACTGAACCCCTCAGATGGCCGCCCGGAAATAGACGGCCGCCCGGAAATAGACGGCCGCCCGGAAATAGATGGCCGCCCGGAAATAGATGGTCTTCCTGTCACGTTGCTGCGACCGTTGATCACACGCTCAGTGGTGGTGGTAACCGGGTTACCACTGCGGCTAAACACAGGGTTGCCAGCGTGGGTTGTAACAGGGTTACCAGCTGGAGCAGTGACACTGGGTGGACTTGTAACAGGGGGCTGATTACCACCTGAACTACCACCTGAATTTTCACCTGCAATTTCACCTGAGTTACCACCTGTGTTACCAGCATGAGGTGTAACCACAGGAGTTCCTCTCCCGGTGCTCTCTCGGCTAAGAGGACTCGCTCTGATGGTGCTGCTTCTGTTCCCATTGCTAGTAACAGGTAGCGCCAAGCCCCTGCTAGTACCGGGTCGACCCAAGCTGTTGCTAGACTGGCCCGTTACACTCACCCTCCCCGTAACGCCAACCCTCCTCCCGGGATGGCTCATTCGCATGCTCATTTGCCCTGGACCAGCGCCTTTGGTTACCGCATTCAACCGCCCGGTTACCCCATCTGTAACACCTGCTCGAGGAGTCTGGATGCTAGTCAATTCACTGGGCAAATGCTTGCTACTGCTGTCGGTGGTGGTGGTAGTGGTGGGGTTGAAAGGGGTGGGGATGGATAACAATGCCTTCTCAAAGGTGCTTGGATCGTATGGGCTGCTGCTGTCGCTTATTGTGAGCTCATCTTGGACCAGGTCTATAAGGGGTACAGGGTGTAGCAAGTCGTCCTCGCCTGTTGCTGCTGCTGTTGCTGTTGCTGCTGCTGCCTTCAAGTGGTCCACACTTGAAACTGAAATGGATCTCACAGCAGAAGCAGAAGCGGCACCCCCAGCTCCAGCAGCAGCAGCATAAAGGGAAGATGATGCAGCAACAGCATCAGTGCCACCCGAGCATGCCATGTCATCCGCTGACGTGGCTTCCACACCAGCAGCTACACGTAATGACTCATTGCCCTCAGCACCAGCAGCATCACCAGCACCAGCAGCACAATCCAACCGAATCTCAGGCTGAGCCTCTGATTGGTGCAGTAGCAGGGGAGGCATCGGAGCATCCCATTGGCCGGAGGAGATCTGGTCGGCAAGGAACGTGACAGCCCTGGACGCCAGGCCGGCAGCTATGGCCTCTGATAGTGCATCTAGATACGCCTCTGAGCGACACACAAAGGCGTGGCTGTCCCTGTGCTGGCTTCTGTGCCCTGTGATTGCAATCGCGCCCACGTCGCTGAAGCTCGAGTATTTCTCCACGCTGGTTAGAAGAGAGTTGCTGCTCCCGTCACCGCTGCTGCTGAAGGTATCAGCGCCCCTCTCATAACTGCCAAGAGCGGATCTGGTGCTGTCATCGCCACAAGCAGTAATGCCAGCAGCAGCAGCAGCAGCAGCAGCAGCAGCAGAAGCAGCAGGGTCACACAGGCCACTCGGCGCGCTTGCAAGGTCTTGAGCTGCGCCGTACATGCGGAAGGTGGTTACCACCCCATGTCTACACCCACTGCCACCGCCACCACTGCTCCCACCGCCGCTTCCCTCCTTGGGAATATCCTGAAGGCTTTCATTGCCTCTGTCATTCCCATGCCCGAACATACCGGTTTCCACTCGAGCCATGGCTTCCCCCGCTAGCCTCCACTCCTCACCCCTTTCCTCCCCCCTTCCACCCTTCTTCCCTTCCCTCGCTCTCCTCCCTCTCCCCCTCCGCCTCCTGCTGCTGCTCCTGCTGCTGCTGCTATTCGCTTCCTTCCTGCTGCTGCTGTCGCTGATTTCTTCCAACTCTTTGCTGCCCGTTTTCACGCTTCCCACTGCCACGTCATCACACCAAGTCCTCGCTGACGAAGCCACTTGGCAGCTTCCTCCGAAAGTGGCGCGCCTTACAAGAGCTCTCCCTGGCGCTGTGCCGTCCGCTCCCCCCGCCTTCCCCGCGGAACCCGCATCTCTCGCCTTGGGAACACGTGCGCGCATCCATCTACCCACGCTCTTAATCTCTTCCGCTTCCGCGCCTACGTGCGTGACCCCCCTGCTTTCCTTGCAGCTCCCCCACCTGCTCTCCCCCGCGTCCTTCCCCGTCCCCCAACCAACCGTCCGCTTTGCCCACCCAGGGCTGGGCGGCCGGCGGACATCGCGCTCTGACTCGCGCTCCGCGTGCGCTTTAGTCGTCCCCCTATCGCCGCGCGCTTCCGCGCGTAATATCCCGCTACCTAATCTCATGACGTCTCCAAATTTCTTGTTATCGTACACCCTGCCGATCGCGGACGTCGTTAAGCTTCGCTGCCTCGACCCTCGCGGTGTCGCTGCTGGTGATTCCGAGTCAGCAACGTCCGAGAAAACCGCCAGATTTTCCGAGCTATTGCTCCCAGTCGACTTTGCCCGCCCCATTGAATTCGCAGTCGCCGCCGCCGCCGCCTTTTCTCGAAGCGCGCGCTGTTCCTTCCTCTGACGCTGCCTCTCCCGCACTTGCCGCAAATCCACGCTTTCAAGCGCCACCTCTCCCACGCTATCGAGCCTCCTAGTAACCCGCAGGCCGCCCCCTAATCTCCGCCAATGGGACAGCGACGCCGGCTCGTTGAGCGAATCAGCAGCCGCGCGCGACCTAGCGATGGGATTATCGGAGACATCGAGGCGAGAGGGCGTGCATGACGCAAGACTCAGCTCGGAGGGACCTACGCCGTTGGATCCGCCGCTCATGGTGCTGCAATCAACGGCTGTCTCGCCGCGTCGATCACGCGAGTTGCTATAGTCCAAGTGCTGTTGCTCCTGTTGCTGCTGCTGCTGCTGTTGCTGCTGCCGTGGTCCATCCGTGAAAACAGTCGCAGTGGTAGCGAATGACACATGATGCCCCTCCAGTCCCTCACGTGCTACCCCCTCCCGCCCCTCCGCGGAAGAAGAGTCGCGATTGAGGGCCTCGCGGGGAGACAGGCGCGGAGCCACCAACTTCCATAGCCACCTCGCAGGCATGACGCCTCGAGAATGGCGTCTCGGGAATGGCACTGGGGAATGGCGTCAAGGGAATGGGGCCAAGGCGCCAAAGGGCTGCCTGCCTGCCTCAGTCGAACTTCAGAGGAACTGTACCTGGGTCACGTGAGACAGTCAGAACGAGACAAAACAGGCAGGGACAGGTCCAAAAGGGGAGAGTGGCTGCAATCAGGCGGGCATGCTTCTGGTCCTTGCCACTGCCATGCACTGCTGCTTGCTCCTCGTGCGTGCCTGCTGCTTCTCGCCTCCCCTCAGTTTGCCGCCCGCATTCTAAAATCTGTACAGCTGCGAGGGACGTGTCCGACGAGGGAATTTAGGACCGCTGGGAAAGCGTGTGCGGCACGGAACGGAAGTAGAGAGCGTAGAGGAAGGCTTGTCGGAGAAACAACCTCTTGGACTGGAGCTTTGGGGCGAGAGCGGAAAACCGCCGCCTTGAATTGGTGACTGTTATCGCGTCAACAAATGGACGGGAAGGAGAGGAGGAATTGTTGTGACGCGTCAACCATGCGGGGATGAGGCGAATACCACCAAGGTGACGCTTCGACGGAGAAAGGACGGGGTGAGAAGTCAGATTTTGGACAAGCGGAAGAGCCAGGTGGGTGACTGTAATTTGTAGCCCTTAATCAAGCGAGGAGCTAGTTGCGTTCGCTGAGATTCGAGGACACAATCGGGCTGACGTGGAGTCCACGATTGTCGCGCTGTCCTTCACATGAAACTGCGACGTCACCGAGCATGCCGCTGACTCGCAAACCACAGTGAGATCGCACGGATTAGATTTGGGCGCTCGGAGGAACAAAGGCGGAGGGCATGAGCTACACTCCTGAATTCGATTGCTCTGGTACTCGCTTTAGGGCCCGAACTTGGTACCGTACGAGAACTATACATGCCTATGAATCGCAGTCACTACAATCTCCGCTGGAAACGCGCGCCATTGGTGGGGGCTCTTCTTCGGTAACCTCATCATGCAGACCTGTTCAAGGTTCTGTGTATCAATCCATCAAGCAGTGATGTTGGGTTTTGCTAGTCAGCAAGTAGGGGAGCTAAGAGGGAAATCTCAAGGCTGAAAGGAAGCCTCGAGACGAATGGAGGTGACATGGACATGCGAGCTTTCCACTTCAGCAGCTTTCCACTCCCTAAGCACTTCGCGGACCACATGCCGACGCCAATTACATTCGCCAAGGTTGTCGTTCCGGTCGCAGACCAAGAAAGGATGAGGAGTTGCTTTCGCAAAAGAACAGTTGTAGCTGCTGACCACAAGAATGTTACTGGGGATGAGGCAAACACGATGCCCGGCCGACCAGATGACACGCTAATGCATGGCGGGACGAAACATTTTTGGCATTGGCAGCTGGCCAGGCATAAGGGCCGCCTCACACGGTGCATGTAAGTTCCATGGATGTTGTCGTGTTGCGAACATACGCGGCAGATTGCAGCGCAAATGTACTTTGGTGGAATCCCCGCTGCGATCGAATCAGGGTTTCGATATTGACATGGGTTGAAGGCAATAAAAAAATATGAAATAGAGCCAATTCATACGTTTCAGAGTAGAACTATAATGTCAATTATTGTACTGTAAAAAGGGTGCTCATTGGTCCATTTAGGTACTCGTTCGCAAATATAATCTTGAATTCCAAATCCAAGCTGGTATATTTGTTATGCAACGAACTTTCACAGAATGAATGTTGGGAAAAAGGATATGCAATAGGGTAAAAACATAGAGAGGACGAATCGTAGTGGAAGTGGAAAAAGTGAGAGGAAGTGTACCAGCCAGCGACAGATAAAAGTCGCTCGTCAGATCACTTCCAGTCCGTCAACCTCCCGCGGAATGGGCGGGTGGGACGTTCATCGAGACTGGCAGTGCGCCTTGCGGTACACGTGTGCAGTCAGCATTCGCGCTCTGAACTGGAAGTCTGTGCTCATCATCCGAGTGGATGACTAGGGCCGATGTACAGAGGTACAACGAGTTGTACGAACAATAGAACAGATCCTGTTCAAGTATAGTCGTGCTGTAGACATCAGAAATTTCAAACTCTATAAAGCCAGACTAAACAATTAAACAGTGCATGGGTTTATGCTGCCGACGTGGCTGCTTGATATTGTGCCACGCCTGTTCTGGAACAGTTTTTCCTATGGTGCGTGAACATGCTCTCCCGCACCCATCACCTAGATTGAACGGATCCAGGATCTCTAGACCGCCAAAAACCAACAGTCGCCAATGTGAATGCGATAATGTGCTATTCGCTCAACTCAGTACGCTCCACGCTTCCCACACACGCAGCCACAGGAAACTAACTCTTTCCTCTTTTTCTTCCTTTCGAGCAGCCATGGCGGCCTTAGGCGGCGCGTATACTCAGCTTAGACTCCCGGTTCCCGTGTCGCGTGGGCTCACAGACTACCGACCGGTGGTCTCCTCGTCTGCAGCACCTTCACTGTCCCCTTCGAACGGTGAATTCTCTCGCAATGGTCTCAATTTCTCCAAATTCCACCCGTCGCTCACTGCACACCGCCTTTATACAGGGCGTTTTTCGCTCAAACCCAGACGGGTAGATCCTAGGCCGGCGAATTACCGGCAGGGCGTCAAAGTGACGGCTACGGGGTTATCCGGTGAGAACGGCAACGCGAACGACTCGTTACCGACGGACGCAGAGGGAGCAGCGGCCTTGTCGCAATCGCGAAACGGATTGGGCGGCTCGGAAGAAAGCGGCTCGGAGACGTCTGTGGATCCGTTGCAGGGAGTGAGCGGGGAAAGCGGCCGCGACGGCAGGAAGGTGGTGGTAATCGGCGCGGGGTGGGCTGGTCTCGGCGCCGCGCACCATCTCACGAAGCAGGTGCGCCGCTAATTGACTCGAAACGAATTCTTTTTTCAGAATACTCTCGGAGATTGTAACCCATGTTCGGCGAATTGAGGCGCATGTTCTCTCGGATTCAATCACAAGTGCCATTTGCGGCGCGTATTCTTGAGGCGCCTCAAGAGTGGCTTCGTAGAGATTGCGGCGTCAATTCAGAGCCTCATACTGACGTGGCACAGTGGGGACGTGGCAGGGGTACGATGTGACGTTGCTGGAGGCGGGGCGGCAGCCGGGCGGGCTGGTGGCGGGCTGGCGGAGCGACAAGGGGAAGCCGGTGGAGGTGGGCATTCACGGTGCGTGCGGTGAAGTGCGGTGAGTTGCGGTGAAGTGCGGTGAGGGGGTGTGTATGGAGTAGATGCAATGATGGTATGGTGTGCATTCACGGGGCAGCAGCTGGACGGGCTGGTGGTGGGGTGGCGGAGCGACGAGGGGAAGCCCGTGGAGGTGGGCATTCACGGTGCGTGCGGTGAAGTGCGGTGAGGGGGTGTGTATGGGGATGCAATGGTGGTACGGTGTGCACTCATAGTGCGGTGCGGTAGCCTGGCGGGCTGGCGGAGCGACAAGGGGAAGCTCGTGGAGGTGGGCATTCACGGTGCGTGATGTGATGTGAGGAGAAGGTAGAGATGGGTGGGGATGGGTAGGGATGTATGGATGCATGGGGATACATGGGGAGACGATAATTGCTGTTGTGTGTGTGTCTTTGATTCATGTATCCCCCTCTGTGTTCATTGGAGAAGGGGAAGCCCTTCACTGGGTCATACCCCACTCTCCCTCTCCCTCCCCCAGGCTCTGGTACCCCTACAGGAACATCTTCGCTCTGACAGACGAGCTGGGATTAAAGCCCTTCACAGAGTCATGTGCCACTCTCCAATCCGCCCCCCACTAACCCCCAGGTTTCTGGTACCCCTAAAATAAAATCTTAGCGCTAACCGATGAGTTGGGCTTACAGCCCTTTACCGATTGGACCCGCTCAGCGCAGTACTCGCCTGCTGGCTTGGAGGTGGAATCATATCAACCCTCCCCTTCCCCTCCCCGCCAGGCTTCAGGTACCCTTACAGGAACATCTTCGCCCTAACCGATGAGTTGGGCTTAAAGCCCTTCACAGACTGGACGCGCTCAGCACAGTACTCGCCTGCTGGCTTTCTCACCCACTCAAATGTCACAACAATCAACCCTTTCATCCCCATTCCACTCTCCCACCCCCAGGCTTCTGGTACCCCTATAAGAACATCTTCGCCCTAACTGATGAGCTGGGCTTAAAGCCCTTCACTGACTGGATGCGCTCAGCGCAGTACTCGCCTGCTGGCTTTCTCACCCACTCAAATGTCACAACAATCAACCCTTTCATCCCCATTCCACTCTCCCACCCCCAGGCTTCTGGTACCCCTATAAGAACATCTTCGCCCTAACTGATGAGCTGGGCTTAAAGCCCTTCACTGACTGGACGCGCTCAGCGCAGTACTCCCCTGCTGGCTTGGAGGTGGAGTCGCCCATCTTCCAGGACTTGCCAAGGCTGCCTTCCCCGCTTGGCACGTTTGTATGGACGCAGGTGGGTCAGTCCCTTCCCCCTGTGTAGTGCCTAATTGCAGCAACGTGTCTGTGGATGCAGCAACGTGTCTGTGGATGCAGCAACGTGTCTGTGGATGCAGCAACGTGTCTGTGGATGCAGCAACGTGTCTGTGGATGCAGCAACGTGTCTGTGGATGCAGCAACGTGTCTGTGGATGCAGCAACGTGTCTGTGGATGCAGCGCAGCGCTGTGCTCGCCTGCTGGCCTGGAGGTGCTATCGCCCATCTTCCAGGACCTTCCTCGGTTGCCGTCTCCCCTGGGCACGTTTGTCTGGACGCAGGTGGGTGGGCAAATACAGCAACAGGTTGGGTGGGTTTAGGGCAGCGCAGTACTGGCGTGCTGGCGTGGAGGTGGAGTCTCAGTCGCCCATGTTCCAGGATCTTACCCGGCTGCCCTCCCCTCTCGGCACCCTTGTGTGGACGCAGGTGGGTGAGTGGTGGCAGGTGGGCAACAGGGTGGGTGGGTGGGGTGGGTATGTGCGGTCAGCTCAGCTCATCTCAGCGCAGTGCTCGCCTGCGGGCCTGGAGGTGGAGTTGCCCATCTTTCAAGACCTTCCAAGGCTTC